ATGCCAGCATCATCCCTAAATTGAGAATAAATGAAATATTTTCGCACATCTTGTTCCGATTATGTGTTCACTGTTGAATTAGTTGCATTATCATAAGAATGTCGGGACGGAAGGAGACAAAAACATTTAAAAGCCCAGGAATGCAAGCAGTTGTTTTCGCATTTTGCAGCATTTCATCGCTTTTTTTTCATCTCAGTTTTATATTGTTCACTTCATGACTGCATGCTTAATTGCCAGTTTTGAAGTTCAGTCCCTAAAATTTCAAAGAGGCTTGAGTCCACTGTTATGAGATCCCACACCTGCTAACTATATATCGTAGCTGTTGCATCTGATACTGTATTGTATGAATACTATAGCTGTGTTTGGAGGAAGTAAAAAGTCTATCTTATTTTGTGTTAAAGGAACAGTGGCAACTGCAATTGCTGAGGTTACTTATTCTAAATGAAATGACTAAATCTGAAGCAACCTTTTCTGAAGCGACGTACTCACCGTTACTATAATCAATTTATATACATTAGAAAAGTGTAGCTCTTCCAGATCTGTTAGTTGTGACCTTGTAGGATCCGAGTAAAATGTGCTCACAATTCTTACTTCTGCGAAAACCGATTGGTGTGCAAGGTTCCATCTCGGGTAAGACAAAACCAAAATTTTGCAAGGGCTGCAGGTATCTAAAAGCAAGGTCGATAATTACCTGGTAGGCACACAACAGACAGATATTAAAGGAAGATTTCGCGGGTCACACAAAGATGCACCCTCAATTGTAACTACCACAAACGCGCCGCGCATGTGGTTCGATGGGCGCTCACGAAAACTGTTGGTTCGGGAACTAGACCTGTCACGCCGGTTTGAGAGCACGTGGCGGAACGTACCCGTGTGCTCTTTCATCCAGCGGCCGTGATAGTAGACCGAAAGAGGTGCCCACTGCACAGCTCTGTCGTCAGAAAAGTACCCTACAGCTCTACCAAAAATGTCTAGAGAATACACACAATCTACAGCACTTTAGACATAAGTACATGCGACAACATTTTTTCAGGCTTAGTGATATGCCATTTGCAATGCCCATGGCCTATAGGTGGCACGTTGTACAATCCAATATGGCTGCGGAAGGATGATCAACTCGTGAACTCGCATAAGATAGGACGCACGGACATACTCCCCATGCCGCTTTCACCGAATGAACTCTTGGTCGTCAAATAAATGTATATCGAACCAAAGTAATTTCCCAACCAACAGGAGCTGCTGAATGTTCGCTACCTACTTTCTCACCGCAATGCACAGGGTGATGGTGTCAGCTGATCGACTGTGTATCAACGATATTTTGCGTAATCTTGTGCGTGCTACAGAAAACTGCGCGAACAAGAGTACGAACTGAACGGCACTCCGAAATCATTCGTGCCTAGCCTGTCTGGCTGATTTGCCGCAGTAGAAGGTCACTAGCAAATAGCGCGCCGTCGCGGCTGCGCGGGAACGAATGTTTAATGTAGCGATTGTTTGAAAACATATTACGCCACCGTTACTTGCACCGTAAGAATCATGTAGCTGCTTAAACGAAACACAAGCATTTATTTATTTATTTATTTTATTTATTTGCAGGATTTCTGCTGGCTTCAAAGTGAAGCCATAAACAGGAGTGGGTAACATATAAATATAGCACACTGAACATTTTCACAATATATTACGCACAGAGAATGCCGCGGACACACAGGTTTTAACGCTGTAAAAAGAAAAATATACAGTGCATGACATGCAATTGCGCATAGCATAATGCCTGTATAAGTGCGTACTAACATCACTTGTGTACTAACAACGCAATGTCACAAAACAAAGAGTACAAATATGGCAGGAAGACATGCTGTAAGTTTTTTAGCTCCGATAAGAATGACGCCACTGTCGCCACCTCCACAATCCCACCATGGAGGCAATTCCACTCGCATACAGTTCGTGGGAAAAAAAGAGCCCATGTACAAGTTCGTTCGTTCTGCAAGAAAATTCCTGTAATTCTTTTGAGTGATCCGCCCGCGTGGGTCGTCGCACGACTTTTTATATATACGCACTTGAATCAATGCCAAGCTTATCGTGGTAGAGCAGATACATATATTTTAGTCTTTCGCGATATCCCCGCAAATGTAAAGCTTCCAAGTTCGCTGTCTGAAGCAAAGCAGTGACTGACGTAAGGCGATTGTATGAGCGAAAGATAAATCGAGCAGATTTTCTTTGTAGGTTTTCTAGTTTATCAATATTTTTCTTTGTGTATGGGTTCCAGACCAGGCAGGCATATTCCAAAAGGAGACAAATATAGGTTTTATATGCTAATAGTTTTATTTCTTGCGTTGACTGTCATAACGATCTTCTAAGATATCCAAGCTTTTTCATGGCTTTCTTTTCTAGAAAAGTGATATGTTCATTCCACCGGAGGTCTGAAGTGATTATTAAACCTAAGTATTTATAACGGTTTACAGCACTAAGACAGCGACCATTTATTAAATACTGGAAAGTAAGCGGTGCCTTCTTTCTTGAAATTGTCATTGAGACGGTTTTTGTAGTATTGATGCTCATCTGCCATTTTTCACACCAAATATGTAGTTTGTCCAGGGCACTACTTAATAATGCCTGGTCAGCAGGTGTGTTTACTTCCTGATAAAGGATGCAATCGTCTGCGAACAGTTTGATTTTGACAGGTATATCGTTTACGATATCATTAATATAAACTAAAAAGAGTAGTGGCCCGAGAACCGACCCTTGGGGAATGCCTGATTGCACGGGCGCCGGGCGTGAACACGAGCCGCCAACTGATCCGCATTGACTGCTAGACGATAAGTATGACTTTATTCATAAGAGAAGTGTTATTTTGTGATATGGGTTTTAATTTTAACAAAAGCTTATGGTGCGAGACGCGATCAAATGCCTTCTCGAAGTCCAAAAAAGTTATATCAATTTGACTCTGTTTATCTAAGGCTGAGGCGAACTCGTGTATTGTCTCAAGGAGTTGGGTAACCGTCGACGTTCCCTTACGGAAACCATGTTGGCGGCAATCAATCAATTTATTTTGCTGCAGAAAGTTTGACAAGTGCGTAAAAATAATATGTTCTAGCAATTTTGAGTAGGTACACAGTAAAGATATTGGTCTGTATGACGTAATTAGTGAAGGATTTTCCGCCTTGGGGATCGGAACAACCTTCGCGTGCTTCCAATCTCTCGGGAGTTCTGCAGTGGACAATGTTTTTTTAATATAGTAGATAAATACTTTGAACGCCAAACTTCCCATTAAGTAGCACTTGTGTCACAGCCATGATCAGACTCTAACAGTGCTTAATTCCCTGCACTTGGATGTTGCAGGTTTTATCAGTGCGATCAAAACAAGGACAGCGAAACGAATACACGCGTACACTTATCGTAACGTCAAAATTGTGAAAATTTGTCGCACAACAACGTAGGTCGGACGGCACCAGTAAGTGCAGGAGAAGTTAGCATAGACTGTAGTTATAATCACATATTTCACTGCTCTAACCACTTGACTTCGCAGATCGAGCTTGAGCGTGTTGGCAGCATGCGGCGCTTTGTAATATCCACTGTAATTGGGATACATTCAATGTACAAGAAAAAGTATGCTTTTATTTTGAGCTCGCTGAAGGATATTATAGAATATATACGATCAAAGTGACTTACAAGCATGAAAAAACATTAATGCATGGCGGGACGTGAAGTGCAACTCTCCACTTGTGAGCTAGCAGCTGATCGTTCATCGTTGCTGTCACTCTCGGCGCGTTAACAACCATCTACGTCCAGTCAAAAATCCTCAACTTCAAGGCGGTTTCTTTAGTCACTGCTGAAAGTAATCTGAGGAATTCTCTGTGCCAAACGACTTCGATAGCACCAACAACGCGTCATTCACCACGCACAACATCCACACGGCATCGCTCCCCATGTTTATTTGGGGGGGCAGAGATTATTTCGCTTTGACACCCAGCAAAAAAGGAATCGCTTACAGTGTGCCGCCATCTATCAATGAACGTAAAAAACAAGCGGCACAGCGTAGGGCAAGGTTTCGAAGCGCTAATTTGCACTACTTTTCTCATGCAATGAATGTTATTGGATTCATGCACTACAAAGGCACTGACGAATGCTATACGCACGTAAAACAAGGCGAGTTTTAACTGAAATGGTCAGACGTTAACATTTGACTATCCAAAGTGGCTGCAGGAAATCTCGCGAAGCTGATATGTGTACTCTGCGGCTGCGGGCTATAATTGAAAGTGCGGGTTGCCACGTATTTGTAAGTATGAACTTGAAAGTGTGGCAGTTTGGGATGTATAACATGACGATAGTTATAGCACGAGAACATAACAAAGAGTCCTTCTTGTCTCTGTCGTCGTTGTGTACTCGCACTATAACTATCGTCAAGTCTATGAACACTGCGAATACTACCCTACAGGCGTAAAGGTGATGTTGGGCACAAGTGATGCACTTGCTGCCCACGAGAAGCCCATCTTCAAAATATCACGTAGAGAAAGAGTTAAATATGTGCTACACTTGAGCTGTTTCCCGTCAGTTTGTAAAATATGAAAACGCATACAGACCCTAGTTTTCAGATTTAAAAACTACGTTCTTTCGTTGACATAAAAAAAACAACATTAGGAATCAAGCGACTCAGTCAGGACTTCAAAAGGCAGTGAATCAAAGGGTGAGCACATGGTGAGGGTGTCATGAACTGCGAGGCATACAATGGCCTCAGACACCAACATAGTTGGAGTATTCACTAGGGCAACCCTAACGTTTTCGCCAAGAAGTTTTAGCCACTTATTATCGTCAGTGTAGCAAATAACGTGCTTGAAAGCAAACCGCATTTGCGGTGATATCGTTCAACGACAAAGAGTTAGTAAATCTCAATTGCAACGCCTTTGTCGCTGAACAGAGCTGAGAAGAGCTCTAATCAGCGAATGATATATGAACTCCACCGGCAAATCAACTCATGTAGCTAATATAGACAAGCAATGCAATACCTGTCATGGTTGTAGGAGGGCCTAGAGTTATAGACTGTTTGTGGTGGTGGAACGTATTCTTCCTCAACCCAGAAATTATCTTCATCCGTCGACGCCGCGCTCTCGCCGCCTGTCCAAGGCATGACAAGCTATGTCCTGCAGCACACCCAACAAAAGTACCAATTTTCTTCAAACTTTTGTCCGTGCAACGTGTTGTTCTGCAAGAGTGGAATGCCCTTCACAAGAGTCGCACAAATATCACCCCCATTTCGAACCAAGTTTGCCACAGAACACCTATCGCTGACAGTCGACGGTACAGTGTACTAGAAGGGGACAAGGGAGTGAACGAGGCGGCCGCGCCGAATCTCCACTGATTCTCCGGTGGGTGACAGTAGCGGCGGCGCTGTTGTTCTATAGTACTCAAGATCGCAGGAGCGTCTGCATTGGGAGCGCGCGCGCCATAGCCTGTGAAAGCTTGTAATTGCTCGTTTTTAGCACGTTTAATGCGTTTCTAAGCCTTTATAAGTGGACTCATCTGCTACGCGCCATGGTTCACGAGTGAATATGTAGGCACGCTAAAATCGCGTGGATACATTCACTGTTTCAAGGTCCTGCAGACCCACAAAAAAACCGAAAAAGAAACATGCATGATAGGAATTTGCAAGAATCCACCTAGCTTCTCACTCAACTAGCGCTTTGAGCTGCGCTATATTATAAGTGACTACTAGCGAACTTCAAAGAGAGGAGAAGTATAAAACCGCGATTACATCATACGGTCGTTTTGTCAACAGTCCCTACGATATCCATAGCATTGTTCCTCGTATGGGTTCACATTCGCTCAATTCTTTCATGAAAAACCCGAGTAGAAGCATCGTTGTTACAACATATATATCGCTGATGAGTCAGTTTTATCAAGTCGATTTCGCTGAAAATAATCACTATTGCTTTATGAAAGGCTTATTGCATATTGAAAATAATAAAAACAACACACAAGCACATTAAAAAGTGCCAGTATAGCCCGTCTGTTAATCTGCTTAAGTTCATTGTAATCATATCTCATTTTGTATCTACAGCTTAAATTGTGCTGCTTTCCAAATAATCAATGGGTGCAACGCCACTGCAAGCCAGCAAATTTATGACAAGGTTTTGTATGCTAAGTGTAGTTATATTATTAAGTGTCAAAAGTGTAGGCAGGCAGTAGTGCATCTTGTTTTGAGAAATTTAACTTCTATATGTACACAGTAAACACACACACACACACACACACACACACACACACACACACACACACACACACACACACACACACACACATATATATATATATATATATATATATATATATATATATATATATATATATATATATGAGACCTAACAGACAGTTATGCCAAGGAATGTACAGAGGAAGTTATTATAACCAATGGAATGTAAACAAGAAGAAAGAAAAGTGGATGAAAAAATAACCAGCTGTCCACTTTTCTCTTCTTTTCTTCTTCCACTTTTCTTTCTTCTTATTTACATTCCATTGGTTCTAATAACTTCCCCTGTACATTCTTTGGCATTACTGTCTGTTAGATCTCATTAATATTGTGTTAAAACACGGAAAAACGAGCCCTTCGGTATACACTTCTTTTCCTTATATATATATATATATATATATATATATATATATATATATATATATATATATATATATATATATATATATATATATATATATATATATATATATATATATATATATTCACAACTACAATGCCCTTAGCACAGCTATCATTTTTATACGGCGATTTTCTCGTCCGACTACGTTAGACTTGAACCAGTTTTAGGACGTCATACTGTCGAAAAAGTAACATTAACAATGCGCATTTGTACAGAGACACACTATAATCAGCTTCGCCAACTATAAACCTTCGGCGCAAGGCTAGCACCCAGATTTTTTTTTATTAAGGGGGGGGGGGGTTGTGTTCTGGGTTGTTGGTTTCGGTTTCGGAATGACATGTGAGGATGCCAGGGGGCGCCGCTCTGGCATCCAGGGATTTTAAGGCGACTGTAAAATAAAAGGAGTGTGCGTTGGGTAACCGTGGAGTGCGGTGGTTGTTCTTCTCTTCGGCGCTTCGCGCCAACCCGCGTGTTCGGGCTGGTCGGCGCGTCCCCGCCGGCCGCGTTCGTCTCCATCGGCCGTCTTCTTCTTCTGCTTCGTCGGGACCAGCCAGCGCCAACACAGCAATGGCGACGAGGACGTATAAGAACCCGTTTCGTTCTCCGTGTTCGTCTTTTCGTTCTCCGTTTCGTTCTCCGTTTCGTTCTCCGTGTTCGACATAATATCAGTTCCCGCGGCTTGACACCTGTTGAATCTAAAGTTCAGGCCATTGTCAATGCCCCACGGCCTACTGATGCCAAAACCTTGCAATCTTTTTTAGGTCTTGTTGGTTATTATGCCAAGTTTGTTCCTCACTATGCTCATGTTGAACCACTGCGTACTCTACTTCGTCAAGCACAGCCTTTTAACTGATCAGCTGAAGCTGAGCAGAGCTTCATTCGAGTTAAGTCAATACTGGCCTCAAAGCCAGCTGTTAGTATTTTCAATGAGAAGCTTCCCATCGTCATCACGACGGATGCGTCCGATGTTGGACTAGGAGCAGTGTTTCAACAACTCAGAGGTGATCAGCTGATAACTATCGCTTTTGCATCTCGTACATTAAACCTGCTGAACGCAGATATTCAGTAGCAGAGCGTGAAGCTCTTGCGTGTCTTTTTGCCTGTGAGAAATGGCATGTTTCCTTGTGGGGCCGGCACTTCTCATTACGTACAGATCACCAAGCACTAGTTGCTCTTCTTTCTGTAGGATCCGAAGGCCGCCGCCCCATTCGCATTTTCCGTTGGTGTGCCAAACTCATGTATTATAATTTCAGTGTTCAATATTGTAAAGGTTCTAATAACGTGGTTGCTGATGCACTGTGGAGCTTTCCTCTTCAGATACCGGTTACTGAAGAGCGGGATGAGGAAGTTGTTTCATTAGTTACTTCCTGCATTACTAAAGCTGAGCTTCAGGCAGCTGCAGCTGCAGATTCCACTTTGTCTCAAGTTCTCAAATATTTACGTGAAGGATGGCCTTCCAAATGTGCTCTTGCTTCTGAATTCTTGCCTTACTTTGCAGTCCGACAGGAACTGTCTTGTGTGGAGGACTTGCTTTTCCGCGATGATTCCGCTTTACGCGTGATTATCCCTGCTTCTTTCCGTAACAAGCTAATACAGCTTGCTCATGAGGCCCATCCAGGCATTGTCCGCACCAAACAGAATCTCCGAGGCAGGTACTGGTGGCCAGCCTTAGACAAGCAGATCGAGCATGCAGTTTACAACTGCCATATATGTCAGGCAGCTGACAAGTCGGCCAAACCTGCATTTTCTCCATTGCAGCCAGTCCAGTGGCCTGATCGGCCTTGGCAGGAACTCGGCATGGACATCATCGGTCCTTTGCATAATGCTCCGCAAGATGCCCGGTTCATAGTTTCTCTCATTGACTACCATTCCGAATGGCCAGAGCTTTGTTTCACACATACGGTTACTTCTGAGGTCATCATTGAATTTCTGTCTTCGATCTTCAGCCGGGAATGGTTTCCTGATGCCATAGTTACGGACAATGGTCCACAGTTTCAGTCCCAACATTTCGAGGCTTTTCTTTCACAACGAGGAATTCAGCACTTGAGGTCATCAGTTTTCTATTCCCAATCAAATGGCCAAATCGAGCGCTTGAATCGCGTTCTGAAGGAACATATCCAGATCGCCCAATTAGAGTACCATCCCCTCAAGCAAGTCTTGACTGAATGTTTAGCTTCGTACAGGTGCACACCACAGGGCACCACTGGAGTGTCTCCTGCTCAACTTCTCCACGGTAGGCAACCGCGAGTTGCTCTCGACATAGTCTCTTTGCCTCGTAACATAGCAGTGTCTTCTCCTGATCAAATTCGTACCAGGGTTTTTTCTCGTCAACAAGCAATGAAAAAGTATGTCGACACCCGTCGAGGTGCAAAGCAGTCCAAAGTTCGCACTGGCGATCTAGTCAAGGTTCGTGTGCCAGGCAAGCACTCCAAGTATCGGGGTGCTTACAAAGTCTTGGGCCAGGTTAGCCCCACTTCTTTTCGCTTAAGTAATGGTAACATCTGGAATGCTTCGCGCCTTGTTATTTTTCATACGGATTCGCCTTCAACACCTAAAAGTCTTCCTCATCAGGTTCCGTCCACGCCTTTCAACTATCCATCAGATTATTACATGTGGCCTCCATGTACAGGCGTTTCTTCAAGGGGGGAGGAGTTACCAGTGGGTGTCACTGGTTCAAGTACACCAAGTCATACGGTTCACTTCGAACCTTCAAATACGGCTGAGACCGTTCAACCGGACTTCGGTCCGCAAAATTCTTCCGAAGCTCATGCTGCGAGCTCTGATGAGACCGCAAATTTTAACGCTCGTTCAGAGCCTTCACAATCAGGTGCAGAGACATCCGATTCTACACCCAAAAGGGCCCGCCCTAAGCGGAAGCGGCAGAAGCCACGTCGGTTCGAAGACTACGTGATGTAGAACTCTTGTTCATTACTGTTGTGAACATTATTGTTCTGTGAAAAGGTCCAATGCGTCCAAATCAATATTGTACCGAGTTGTGTACAATTTTTTTCAGTGCATTTTCAGGACTTCCATTGTACATTTTTTCAGTGCATTTTCAGGACTCATAATGTGTGAGTTCGCTGTGCCGTGCTCTGAATTTTCATGTGTTCTAACGTACATACCTTGTAAAATACGCTGGTACCGATCATGTATAAATATAAACAGTGTATAGGTGAACTTCTTTCGAGGAAGGGATGATTGTTGTGTTCTGGGTTGTTGGTTTCGGTTTCGGAATGACATGTGAGGATGCCAAAAGGGCGCCGCTCTGGCATCCAGGATTTCAAGGCGATTGTAAAATAAAAGGAGTATGCGTTGGGTAACCGTGGAGTGCGGTTGTTGTTCTTCTCTTCGGCGCTTCGCGCCAACCCACGTGTTCGGGCTCGTCGGCGTCCCCGCCGGCCGCGTTTGTCTCCGTCGGCCATCTTCTTCTTCTGCTTCGTCGGAACCAGCCAACCCCAACACAGCAGGTGGTGCAGCAGAACGACTTACTTTGGCCATTGGTGGTCACTGTGAATGCGTGTAAGTATTTTAGTATACCGTAAAAAGTTAAATTAAGAAGAAAAATTCTGCGTGTAGGGGTTCAGGTTCCCTTTCTTTCCCCTCTTTACAAACGGCCTGTTGGATCTGCGTGCGTTTGAAACGGTATTTTTTTCAATCTAAGAGCTTTCGGAGTGCAGCTAACTTCCAAT